GCCAGGAATGGGCATCAGCGACGGGGTGGGGCACCTGCCTCCCCACACCCGGGCACATCTCCGGAGTCGCCCACGGGGCAAGAAACACTGTCCGGTTGCATTAAGGCCTGGACCACACGGCCACTGAGAAACGAGGCAAATGACAGAGGGGTGTCTCCAGTCCAAGCGGCTGTGAGCACCCTCGCTAGGCAGGGTGTTCCTCGAGGTGAGCCAAGGGCTGCTCGGTACACTGGCACACGAGTACGCGGCACATGCGTGTGCACCTGGGTGTGCACGAAACTCCCATCCTCACAGACTGCCGGCCGCAGTTGTCCCTGGGAGTCCAGAACTCAGGACAAGGAGGAAACTGACTTCTCACTGTGTACTCTGAGTCCTCTGAATTTATTTTAGCAAGTGCATGTATTAAGTATCCGAAAAGATAAAGAAAACAATACGCGTGAGCTAAGAATAGCAGTGTGGTTGCTGAGGGAGGCGCCTGGCCTTTTGAGGAGACCCAACACAGGCTCTCTCGACGCACCAAACTTGACAAAATCAAAGTAACATCTCAGGTCAATTTTCTCAGGTTTCTCCAAGGGCTCAGGGCTCAGATGGCTCCGAACACACACGCTGGGCGGTGGGCCAGGCAAGGCAGGCCCCCCTGAGTTACACTCAGTGGCCCCCGCACCCCACAGCCAGCAGGTGGTCACTGGGCATCCATCACGGCATCTCGGGTCCCTAGCAAACTGCCCAGACCAAGAATGCTCCGCCCACAAATGCCAAAACTGCCAAAACAGAGAGGTGCGTGGGCAGCAAGCCCAGCAGCCCGGGCCTGCAGCCTTGACCGTAAGCTCCGGTCAGCTTCCGCCTCCTCACAGCTCAGAGATGCTACTACCCCTCACTCGACAGGTGAGAAAACCGAGGCCTGGAAGGGAGAAGGCCAGTGCCCAGGGGCGCAAGGGTATCAGCCATGCAGGCAGGCCCGGGGCCTGAGTAGCATCAATACCCGGCAGAGGCCAGATGGGCATCTGCTCTCATGTGAAGTCCAGTCGCCCCCTCAGAGGCCGTCGGGAAGTGTTTATTTGCAGGGCCGAGTTATGGAGAGTCCCGGGACTCGGCTGCAAAGGAAAAACCTAAGTCGGTACCTCCCCCCACCCCCGCACCCCCAAGTGGTACCAAATCCAGACATTAAGACAAACAGAAAACCCTACTCAAAGACCAGCATCACTTAATCTACGAAATAGCCTCCTTCCTCGCTCCCAACAATCTCCCAAAAGAATTCCAACCCAGAATACTAAAGTCATCCCACAGAAAGGGGCCTTCGAGAAGAAGGAAGAAAGGTAGCCCTGAAAGGGAGGGACACGTTCTCCCTGGCACACTCAGCCCACACTCTCCCTGGCACACTCCCCAGGCCAGGTTCCTGTCAGCACAGCTCCAGGAGGAGAGGGCTCTGCCCCACCCCCCAACTCAATGCCTGACCCCAAGGTGAGGCTCCTGAAGGCGCTGGTCCCTGTGAGGCTCTGTGGACTCTGGCCTCGCTCCTTCTGAGGCAACTGTACAAAGGGTCCCGGCAGGATCATCTGCAATGACAACATGATCTGATTGCTCCATAAACAGTTTCCTGCAGGCCTGGTCAGCCCAGCTGGCAGCCAAGTTTCTCAAGGACGAGAACCTCACAGGCCTTGGTCGGCTCTGGAGACTTCAGGAAGCCCTGGCCTAACCTGAGCAAAGGAAGAACCACTAAACAAAGACGTCTAGGCCTCCGGCAGACGGGCTTCAGGGAAGCCCCCCGAAAGGCTGTGACAGCCCCTCCCAAGCCTCAGCTTCCTCATCCTCCATCTCAGAGCTGCTGGGAGGACCGAGTGCGGTACCAAGGCCTGCACTAGAAAAATCAGTCGATGTGACGGTAAAGACAGTCAGAGGTTCACCCACATTTTGTACCAAAATGCTTCCTGAAGTCACGTGCCTTTCCCCCACCTCTGGCCACGCAGGCTCAGCTGCAGAAAAGAGTGCAGAGGAGAGGCAGACCAGGAGGCCAGGCCGAGCATTTAGACAGGGTCAGCCAGCGTGTCCGAGAGGGGCACCAAGGAGAGCTCACAAAGTAAGCGGTGAAAAGGCACCCAAGGTTTCCAACAACAGCTCATTTCCTTACTCCCCCTCTGCAGGCCCTCTGGGCATCTGGGGAGTCACAAGGAGCGCGGTGTGGGAGCTCGAGGCTGCCAACAGCAGGGACCGAGAAGGGAGGTGGAGGGGCAGGGTCCAGCGGGGCCGAGGCCCCCTGCAGAGCGTCAGGTGGAGGAGACATGTGGGAGCGGACGTGCCACTCACACAAGCTGAGTCAAAGCCGTCTGCGGCCCACCGTGAGGCCGGACTTCCAGGTCCTTCCGCCCACGAGGCCCCGGGACCTGGCTCCAACCACGATGGACAGCACCGATGTGTGCTGACGCCCCTCAAAGGCAACGCATCACCCTCGCGAAGAGCTCAGGCTTGCAAAGACAAGCGTCTCCAGGACAAAAAGGCAACAGCTGCGCTCCTGGGGGAGGGTTAACAGGGGTCCACCTTACTGCCTGTGTGGGTCCCAAGGCCACCAGGCCCCGAAGTCCAACCAAAGGAGACCACGTACGGAACAAGCCCACTTTGTGCCAGCTTCCCCATCTGTAAAGCAAAGGGGCTGGCTGAGAGGCGCCAAGGTCCCAACCAGCCGTCGGCATTTCACAAAGCCTAGCGCTCAGCTCACCCCGATCTGCTCGGCTCAGGCTGTGCCACACTGAGTGCCGCAAACATCGCCAACCCTCTCTGGGCTTTTTCATTAGGGGATTCAAAGACAATACATTAACCGCCAGAACTGGGCGCTGTGGCCCCCGAAAGGCTGATACCGGAACCCGGCAGTGTCCCGAGGTCCCCGAGACTGCAGGGCACTCAGGCCAAGCGTGGACAGTGCGGTAGGCCGCGGGGGTTGCACCGGCATGGAGACGAAGCCACCAGGGGGCGCTGGCCTAAAAGCTATTTAGGAGACAAGAAACAAACTCTTTTTCATGTTTTCTTTTCCGTCTTAAGACTAAGAGACAAAATAGCTAAAGCTTCCACCCTAACGAGAACACAAAGTGGGCTTCTTGAGGCTCTGAAATGACTCAGTGTCTTTGTTTCATCTCGGAAGCCAAGAAGGCAGCTAGACTTCAAGCCCTCTAGAAATATTAGCCACAGGCTGATTTCCCCCAGGGTGACCACCATTACAGCTTGCCCTCCACCCCGACCCGTTACAGGCAGGAGAGCCCCGCCTCCCAAGAGCAAAGTCAATCTGTGGGTCCAGCATGAGGATCTGGCCATGGGGTTTGGCTGGGACTTTTTTCCAGAACCTCCTAATTACCAAGCAAAACATACCAAGCAGATGACAACCTCATGCTTTAGCTGCAGACACAGGATGACACAAACAGAAAGACCTCAGTAAAAAAGGGTGCAAGGTATTAACTGGGGTTTCCCAAGTCTCAGACGACTGCTGGGGAAGCTCTCCCACGCTTACACGGCACTTCAAGAACACATCAAAGGGCCTTCTCCAAACGTCCTCAGTGTCAACGGCCTTTTCCACGAGTGTGTTTCTGCAGAGCAATGCTCAAGGGCCCTTTCTAACGTTCCAAAAAGTCCTCGGACCCATTCTCAAAGCTCTGGCCGTGTGCCTCCCGATGTCCTTGTGAGTTCCCAGGCTGCCAGGCGTCAGGCGTGCTCTCCAGGCTACGGATAGCTGGCCTGCTCCTGGGGAAGCTGCCTGGAAGGAGCAGTCAACTCCAGCCCCGAACCAGGGGATGCAGAACCAGGCGCTGCTTCAGACAAGATGCGCCCCGCTGGCTGTAGGGAGAAGCGCACCGGCAGGGCGTGCACAGGGCAGAGGGGCAGCAGCCCGCAGGACAGGCAGGACAGACAGAGGTGCTCATTCTGGCCGCCTGCACAGGCCAGCTCAGACTGGCCACTGGCTCCAGGGGTAAAGAAACACAACTGTTCGATTCTGCAAGCTGTTTGGGGAAGCAACAAGGACAAAAATGCAAGCAGGGTCCATTTTCTAGAATCCAGTCTACCAAGTGGAGTCTCTGCATCACAAAAGGGTTCCCCTCCTAGAGTTTGCAAGGGGCTTGGGGAGCTGGATTCTCTTCAGCTTTCAGTGAGAACAGAATTTAACTAGTAGCTTCTCAGAGGCAGTCACAGTTATGGACAGGTGAGGGACACCTGACCCAAGACTAGATGATTCAGTCTTGGATCAAGAATGTGATCTTATTAAACACCCCGAGTGTCCACCACTGCGCGTCCACATTGAGCACCAACATAGGGGTGGGGGTGGGGACCCAATGCATTCACCCACATGCATTCCCAATAGCTCCTCTGCACAAGCCCCGCTGGGGATGCCTTGGGGGCCCCCCACTTCTCTGCCCACCCACCCCCACTTCTCAGACACCTGGCCCAGAATTATGACCCCAGACAATCAAGGCTGATGCGAGGCTCTAATGAGACAGCAAATCACCACATCCATGCCAAGAACTGCCACCCGCTTCAAACAGGCTTAACCCAGTGACATGCAATGGCAGCTTCCAGAGCAAAGCACACGCGGGGCACACAGCAGGTGGCCCACAAACCTGCACCGGTGCCTGCTCCAGGAAGGGAAGGGGACCAGGAAGAAAAACACTCCAGTCCAAAAGTAACCTCAAGCCACACAGGCACACACCGTGGATCCCCTACTTCCCAGGTTCCTCCACCAACTAGAGCGGGGTTCCCACCGCGCCCCAGCAGCTGGGGGCTCTCTCATCGGGGGTCCCCGCGCACCGAGAGCCCCAAGCCGAGCCACACCGCCCAGACGGGCCACCGCTGCCCCTGAACACGGGGGGCGGCCACCAAGCCACCTGGTTACTCGGACTCAGTCTCCCAGAGCACGGCTCTTTCCCGTTCGGCTCCCATCTCCCCACACAGCAGCTGAGGCTGAGCCGGGCTCAGGCCAGGGGAGGGGGGGTCCCCGGGCGCAGGCACCCGTCCCTCCTTACCTGCACAGCTCGGCGAAGGCCTGGAAATTCAGCTTCTTGATTTTCTTCTCGCTCAGCCAGTAGCCAACTCTCTTCCCTTTCAGAAAGGTCTGCATCTTCCTCCTTGGGCGGGGAGCTCGGGTCCGGAGGAAATCACCCACAGGCCGAGTGTGGCGGCCCGGCGCGCGCCGCGAGCGTGCGGGTACCTCCTCCCGGCGGCGGGGACGCGGAACG